AATTGCCAGGCTAGCACACAAATGTGAGCACTATGAAAATGTGAGTTATTCAGATACACGGCATGGATCATTTGATATGTATATTAACATTTGGGACAGGGCGTTTATATTAAGAACCCACTATAAAAATGCCTTCATTCTGCATAAAATTATATAACAAGTTACTTTTCTAATTTATTCAATATATACTTCCATTTCTAACTTTTATTTGAATTACATACAATTCTCTAAGGGTCATTTGGATTGTTGTCGTGAAAACAAGATGATTTGAGGCGAAATGTCTATTTCATGCAAATAGTTATAATTATGTCCACGCGTGGCATGAACTGTTAACATAATAACTTTACGTTATTGGTTATATTCACAAATACTCAGAATCAGCAGCAAAGTAATATGGTGAATGTCGTGAAATGCAGACTAGATAACCTAGCTGCCCTGATTAGTATGGTGGTAAAACCAAAAGTGTGTTGTAGAAAAAAAATGTGTACTTTGAAATAAATACTGTTGTTGAATACTTTTTTCGCCATGCTTTTACACTCATTATGCCATAATAGCAAATAATTAAAAACGTGTTTTTGAAAGATTTTGCCAATTTACTGAAAATGTACATTTCTCATGCACATAAGTATTCTATGGCACTCCAAATTGAGCTCAGGTTAGCCTTTCATCCTTGAGGTGTCTCCAGTACTTGAAGTACTGTGGCCCCAATGTGGCGCATAATTAAATGCATCTTATTATTCTTACCACAAGATGGCAGCAAATCGTCGATTGAGTTAATTGAAAGCCGGTTCGTTGAATGTCAGTGTAGATTGGCCTATTTGATGTTATTCATTTATTTCATCAATCTATTCATAGCTATATGTGGGTTTGATTATTATCTAGTTCAATTCAACAGAACCACTCTCCATGGTTAGTCAGTTGAGTACAATGTTCCAAATAGTACTGGTTGGACCCCTTTTCCGGAATGGCCTGAAGTCTTTAGTAATGTCTTGGTAATGGATTCTACAAGTTGTTGAAAATGTTCCAGCGGGATGTTGGCACCCGCTGACAGGACGGCTTCACACATTTTTCCTCAAATTGGACAGCTGTACATTCATACTGTGACCAGCCCAGTTTCCATCCTCAGGATTCCCAGCTAGTTTTTTCAGCTCCTCAATTGTCCACTGTTAGTGATTACAGCTGCATTGTATGTGTGCTCAGTGACATAACACTCCCACTGTGCTTCGAGCCCCACACGGCTTCCTACACATCAACATGTCCATACATTCTAAGTCATATATATCTATTTGAGCCCAGTGGCCAAATTGTAGTATTAAATCCTGCTGCTTTGAGCCGTTCTGTTACAAGCAGCTTTGGCTCTACGCGAAGGCATGTGTCATTACGGCCCCCTTCTGACCAAGTCCTGAACTGAGATAGATACAGCATGTGCGTCCTTAGTGACTCCCTATTCAGTAGTCTACATCGTATAAACAGAACCTCATAGGGGTTTTATATAAAACGCACACAACTCTTTGCCAGAAATACTATGTTCTGCATGTTACTGTTTCTCGTTTTATCAACATGCAGGCAAGTGCTGCAGTGTCAGACAAAGCAAGTTGCTGCTACTCTGAGACTTCTGTAAGGGAGTCTATAAACGCTTGGTTTCTTGTCTTTGGTTCAGTTTAATGTATTTTGTTGACATTACACGTCCAAGCTGGTGTGTTTTGGTGCAGTTGTGCTTGTGTCAAACTGGAATGAGCATCTTAACAGCTGGCTGGATTCACTTCTGTTTTCTGTTTAGGGAGTGAGGCTGTTCTTCTCCAAACCCCAAATCCTGCGTTGCCGGTCTTAGCACTGAAATTACATGCTGGAAAAGAGCAGCTGTTCACTTGATCAATCCAGTTGCCATCCTTCCCTCCCTTTCCTCACACAAATGTCTCTCTTCACCATCCAGTGCCTTGCCGATTATTGGAGCAGGTACTCCCCACAAGGTGTCGCCAGAGCCAGCATCTGATATATGTGCCCCAAACACACATCAACAGTGAGCTACAGTAGCAAGTGCTCAGATTTGTATGTGAGTTGAACCAATAATACTGCGTTCAACCAACTGAGAACCACAGCACCCTGACAAATATTCCCTTACCCCTTGGTTGCCGGACAAATGTTCCCTTGACATTGGCCCTTGGTTCATCCACTAATAATGCAGTTGTCGATACAGAATGTGACGTGATACGAGTGTTTATTAGACTGCTGTATTGTTATAACCATAGACATGATATATATATATATAGATTATGTCTATGGTTATTGGTTATACAAACCAGCAACCTCTGGTCGCATGTAATTTAAATGCCCCGCTATTCCTGTACTTACGACATGTGGACGCAGTGGGAGGGGTCAGAGTGTCCCGAGTTCCCATCTCATTGTCACTTGGGCTCAAGGCGAAGTGCGCTAGGGTGTCCTTTAGGCCGTTCATTTGTCACGAACAGGTAAGGGATATACGGTATTGGTTTAATTACTGGCAAAACAAATGTTTCATTTGCATTTGTATGAATTCAACGTTTAGCCTGGTTTAAAGTAAACAAGTTGAATGCTCTCATATTCACTAAAATGATTCAATATGTCTTTAATCCGAGTTGTTGCGTATTTTGGAAGAGATTAGGTTGTTCGTTCTTTGTTCTATTGGAAAACCTTGTTTGCAAACTTAGAAAATATTTTGGTTTTCGAGTCGATTTGCGCAGCCTCATCTGATCAGGATAAAGGATTGAGCCGCATTTCAGTCTTAGCTTTTTCTTTCTGGTGCAACAATTTCTCATTTACATGTGTCTTTGGACCTACTATTTTGTGCATTATTAGTGATTTGAAGTAAGTACTTTAGTGTTTGTTTTTTATGAACGTGTGTGCGCTCCGCTGCGGCTACAGGCTTTACCCATTGTTCAGGTCCACCCTGTTTGGTGCTGAAACTGGTGCGGCGGCTGCGCTGATGGATAACTGCAGTAAACCGCCCCAGCTACACTCAGTACTTTACTGATGGATAATTGCAGTAAACCGCCCCAGCTACACTCAGTACTTTACTGATGGATAATTGCAGTAAACCGCCCCAGCCTACACTCAGTACTTTACTGATGGATAACTGCAGTAAACCGCCCCAGCCTACACTCAGTACTTTACTGATGGATAACTGCAGTAAACCGCCCCAGCCTACACTCAGTACTTTACTGATGGATAACTGCAGAAAACCACCCCAGCTACACTCAGTACTTTACTGATGAATAACTGCAGTAACCCGCCCCAGCCTACACTCAGTACTTTACTGATGGATAACTGCAGTAACCCGCCCCAGCCTACACTCAGTACTTTACTAATGGATAACTGCAGTAAACCACCCAGCATACACTCAGTACTTTACTGATGGATAACTGCAGTAACCCGCCCCAGCCTACACTCAGTACTTTACTAATGGATAACTGCAGTAAACCGCCCCAGCCTACAATCAGTACTTCACCCAGTCTGCCTAATCCCAGATTTCAAATAGCCTGTGGCGTACATATATAGGCTTCTACTAATGCCTTTGTTTTTATGGTTTATTGCGTTTTCCCATTTTTGCATTTAGTTTACAGCAATTTGCACTGCTCGAGATCTTAATTGAATGACTGGGGATTCAGGTGTGTTACTGAAGCTTACCTGCAATGTAATTACTGCATTCATCACTGCAGTCCAAACCAATGCCTCAAAACCGCCTCAATATAAATGTCAGATGTTTACAATGAATTTAAGGTGTGGTCGTTTTAAACGTAGTCCGATTACATTCCCCAGCAATAGACAATTCACAATCAAGCAACGTAAATTCATGGCCATGTTGGATCTAATTGCTTTTCAAAGACATACGACCAGATACCCATTTCTGCATTGCGAACACCTGAAAGCCGATGGAACAGTTAATCGTTTCAAATGCAGCGTTCTTCTCTATTGTTGAATACCACGACAAAATATAGCTAAAGATAGGGCATGTTTTGGATATTAATAGCAGGCATTTGGGCAGCTGAATTTCTATGGGCAGATTATATATCATTTTCTTTGGTTGACTTAGCTGCATTGGTTTATGTTTGTGTCTCCAGTATTGAGACAATTCCACGTAATTGCACCGTAATTATGTGCCCTTTGTGTATACCCAGCTTTAATAGGCCTACTTCTTTCAGGGCAGCTAATAGATGGATACCTCTGTATTTCAGTCTGAGATCATGGTGCCTCATAGCCTCCATCACTTACACCCGCCTGGTCAACTGAGGTCATATATTGCATCATCATGTGTTATTGAAGTCCGGGCAGGATATTTGCATCTCAATGGACTGTAGTTTGATTTCACATTAATAGATGTGAAAACATACATGTTGTACCAAATGCTATGTGAATAGTTGGCCAGATAATCAGTACCTCTTGATTACATCAGCGTGAAATGGGAACGAAATGAAATGGACACTCTGGTGATACTGTAACCATTATTTGGAGAAGTTGGTAGCTCAGTGTTAGAGTGCATGCTTCGTATGTATGATGTCCTGGGCTCCAATTGGAGGAGTTGGTAGCTCAGTGTTAGAGTGCATGCTTCATATGTATGATGTCCTGAGTTCCTATTGGAGGAGTTGGTAGCTCAGTGGTAGAGTGCATGCTTCGTATGTATGATGTCCTGAGTTCCTATTGGAGGAGTTGGTAGCTCAGTGGTAGAGTGCATGCCTCGTATGTATGATGTTCTGAATTCCTATTGGAGGAGTTGGTAGCTCAGTGTTAGAGTGCATGCTTCGTATGTATGATGTCCTGAGTTCCTATTGGAGGAGTTGGTAGCTCAGTGGTAGAGTGCATGCCTCGTATGTATGATGTTCTGAGTTCCTATTGGAGGAGTTGGTATCTCAGTGGTAGAGTGCATGCTTCGTATGTATGATGTCCTGAGTTCCTATTGGAGGAGTTGGTATCTCAGTGGTAGAGTGCATGCTTCGTATGTATGATGTCCTGGGCTCCTATTGGAGGAGTTGGTAGCTCAGTGGTAGAGTGCATGCTTTGAATGTATGACAAGATTCAATCCCCAGGTCGCCATTGCAAATGAGAATCTGTTCTCAATTGGTCCACCTGGTTAAATAATAAAACATTATTATTAGAGACTGCTGTGCAAGTTCACAAACTGACATGCTATCATCCTCAACATTTTTGGGGAAAACAAGTTTGTCACAGAATGACATTTAGTTATGATTCCGTGTTTCCATGTATGATCTTAGCTAGCTCTTGCTTTTATGACATCTATTGGATGCAAGGTTTCTACAACTGTCCAACAGGTTCAGGAGAGT